TGGATGGTGGTCAGAGGACAATGTATGAAAATTGATTCTCTCTCTTGTGAATCTCAGGGACCAAACTCAGGTGTTGATCTTGGTAGCAGCCTCCCTTACACAATCAAGAAAAATCTACAGGGATAGGTAGATTCTCAGTCATCTGCTAAATAAAATATAAATAATAGGAGGATATGAAGTGAACATTACATTTTATTTAAAAGTTTTCATTGTATTTATTTATTTATTCCTCTGGATGGTGGTCAGAGGACAATGTATGAAAATTGATTCTCTCTGTCTTGTGAATCTCAGGGACCAAACTCAGGTGTTGATCTTGGTAGCAGGCTCCCTTACACAATCAACCATCTCACCAGTTTCATATTAATTTTTTTTTTTGAAACAAGTTCTCCCTGTATGTAGCCCCTGTTGGCCTGGATCTTACAAAGATCTTTCTGCCTCTGCCTCTGGAGTGCTGGACTTAAAGATGTGGACCACCACGCCTGGCTCCATATTTTACTTTTACAATAATCTTTTCAATATAATCATTTCTTACTCAATGAAGTGAATTTTATCTTTCTCTTCACTTTGATACCCTACAGAAAGTCATAATTCTAGGATTTTTATTTAGTATTTGTGATATGAAATAATATCCAAATTCTATGGAAATTTTAACTTTTTTTAATCTTGAAGAGTGTATGGAAGACTCTTGTGAGATGTGAATGTTAGATAATAGTAAATTCACTTTATTCCACAACCTAAACTTCATTTAGCATCTAAAAAGCCTTTTTAGACCTATAGACATATCCAGAATAAAGCTGGTGAGGCCCAAAATTCAGGAGAGATGGCATTCGTTAGCTTTTCTCCTTCTTTAGGTTATGTTATAATTACTACTGAATACAAAATTATACAGCCTTGTTCCATTTGATTCTTAAGTAAAAATGCTAAAAAATATTTTAATAATATTCTGTTGAGACATTTCTCTTGAAACTAGACCACATTTGAAAGTTAGGGTGAGGCCCAAAATTCAGGAGAGATGGCATTCGTTAGCTTTTCTCCTTCTTCAGATTATGTTATAATTACTACTGAATACAAAATTACACAGCCTTGTTCCATTTGATTCTTAAGTAAAATGCTAAAAAATATTTTAACAATATTCTGTTGAGACATTTCTCTTGAAACTAGACCACATTTGAAAGTTAGTAATAATTTTTCAGATACTAAATCACTTGCTATTGATCACATTTAATTTAAATTTTTGGATTTGTTTAATCAGAATTGCAATTACTTATGTTTAATATTGATGATAATGAAGCATGAAATATAGCAAAGTAGTAAAACCTGTTTGGATTGGACTTTACTTTTTGAATTTCAGGTCTTGACCCTGCTGGACCAAAATTTTCAGGAAAACCAGCAAATAGCAGATTAGATTACACTGATGCAAAGTTTGTAGATGTCATCCATTCTGATGCCAAAGGTAAAATAATCAGGCTGTATGGCTTCCTTATTGAAAAGTAAGATGTAGAATATGGATCCTGGGGAAGAGGAGACTGTAAAATTAAGAAAAGTTGTGGATAGACTTTCTTGGGGTTAATGATCTTTTTGAATGTCATATGGCAATTTTTATTTTGTGTTTACTTTCTTTGGGTCTCAAGAAATATAATACCATCCTAAACATTAGAATTTTATGAATAGTCAATCCTATTCATGTTTTGGCAATCACTGGACTGATCCTATTTCATTGCAATTCTAATGTTGCTAATGTGTTTAGATTACTCTTCTAAATTCATTTACTTGCTGTAATATATATGCCAACAATAACTAAACATATCATTAAAGCCATAGATACAGTCTAATTTTTTTTCTTACAGGTAGAGCATAATGACTCTATCATTTTTTATTATCTCCATGAAGATCTTAAGCAGGGTATTGATGGCAATGGTTAGAGTACATTGGAAAGAAACACTGAAATAATCATTTTGACTATCTTGATGCCCTTCCTGATTTGAATCTAGTAATATTAATATTGGTTGAACTCTTTCTACATCATCAAGAGATTTGTGTGAATTACTGATTTTTACAAATTCTCATGAGATATTCATAATCATCTTTGCTTGACAGATTGATGAACTAGAATCAAGGTCAGAAGGCCAAAAATTTGAATTTGAAATTATGACTGTTGATTTCAAAGTCTACATATATGAGTGTGACAAATGACAATTTTTATCTCCAATTTCTACATACAAACAGACCAAAGCCATACTGAGGACAATACTGCTCTTAAAAGAAGTCAGAGCCCGAAGAACCTAACTTTAAATACGATAGCACAGCCTCTCATGTTTTTGTTTTGTTTTGTTTAAATATTTTATTATTTTATGTATATGTGTATTGCTTCCATTTATATAAGTGCACCCATGCTGTACAATGCCCAAAGATGTCAGAAGAGGGCTTCAGAGTCCCCTGAAACTGGAGTTACAGATAGTTGCTAGCCACCATATGAGTGCGGGGAACCAAACTCCGGTCCCCTGCAAGAGCAACCAGTGCTCTTAACCGCTGAGCCATCTCTCCATCTCCAGCTGTCATGTGTGTGTGTGTGTGTGTGTGTGTGTGTGTGTGTGTGTGTGTGTGTGTCTTTAGCCTTAAAATCAGCTTGGCACAACTATACATGCTAATTAGTCAGCAGGGCAGTTCCTTATCTGAGAATTTGGATTTGAAACTCTTCTGCAGTTCTGCCCATTGCCTTTTGAATTAGTTTGGTATATTATTTGTTATTTTTGTTTCTTTAATTTTTTTAAAGACAAGATCTCATTATGTGGCCCAGGTTAGTTTGGAACTCTTAATCCTCCTTAATATTTTGAGTGTTGGATTAACAGGTATATACCACAATGTCCAAACTGTAAATTATCTTATGTTGTTCTCTCCATCTTTAGTGACTCAACCAATTACGTTCTTTCTTCCACAAAATGTTTCACAGAAGGCTTCTCTGATGGGTCTTTCTCTGACCAAAAATTAAGAACACATATTTCATCCTGCATATTCAACTGCAAAAGGAATTTCTGAATGACATGTGAGGGCTCAACATACTCCTGGCAGAATATCTTTTTTAAAAAATACTAAATAGTCCATCTTCTTGTCAATAATCATTGTCTATATAGTGTATGTTAAAGAAGTCAGGGCAGCCTTCCAAAATTGTGGATTATCAGTACTTTGGGCATGTATTATTGCTCATATTCAAGCAATATTACCAGTCCACAATGTGTAACACTATTGGAGTAAGTGGAAACTTTAAATAGACCATAGGGTTTGATTCTATAGTCCTTTATGTGAAATGCATAAAGGCAGAAGCACGAGGCAGCTGGCCGCAGCACGTCCATAGTAAAGAAGCAGAGAGATAAACGCAGGTACTCAGATCTCTTTCTCCTTTGTACCCAGTCCTGGACCACAGCCCACAGAATGGTACCAGGCACGGTTAGAATAAGTCTTCATATCTCTATTATTCTAGTCTAGATACTCCCTCACAGATATGCCCAGAAGTTTGTCCCCTAGATGATTCTAGGTCTTAACTGACAACCAATATAACCTCACAAGGAGGCATTTTCAGAAGATGAAAAATAACAAATATTTCGTTAATGAAAAATATGGTTGCCAGTTTTAGAGGACAAAACCAATTTGTGGTTTGTTAAAGGCACACAGGGCTTCTAGGTTCTATATTTTTGACATGGATAAGGGACCTATGTGTCTATTTGCTTTACAATAATTAAGAACTTTATTTGATTATATTTTCTGTATTTTTGTTATGTATCCATGCTTGTTGATGCACTGTTCACAACAGCCAGGAAATATAACTAGCCTAGATGAGCATTAACGAATGGATGAAGAAAATGTGCTACTTATACATAATGGAAATGTGTGCAGCCATTAAGAAAAACAAAAACATGGTATTTACAGTAAAATGGATGACAATGGAAATCATTATGTTAGGCAAAATAAGCCAGATTCAGAAACACACACACACACACACACACACACACACACACACACACACACATATTTCCTCTTACATGTAAAATCTAGTTTTAAAATTATATATGTAGGGGCTGGAGAGATGCTTGAACAGTTAAGAGTGTGTATGCTTCTTTCAGAGGACCTGAGTTTAATTTTAAAAAACACCCATCAGATGGTTCATAACAGTCTGTAACTCCAGCTCCATGGGCATCCTACATTTCTGGACTCCATGGACACCTGTACTCACATACTCATACTTTGACACAGATACACACACATACATATATCTAAGTAGGTAATTTTGTGTATATACTTGCTCATATTTATATGTGTGTACAATTGTCTAGACCCCCAAACTACAAAAGGGATTATGAAAGGGGATGACTGATGTTATATTAAGGGGATGGGGAGAATAGAGATTCTTATAATACACGTGAAGAAAGCACAATGGGGAATCATTTGGAGAAGGAAGGGAACTGTCGCGGAGTGCAGGGGACACCAAAGATGGTAGTTTGAGAGGCAAACAAATAACAACCAAGTATTATGACAGATAACATGAACTGCCATAATTAAATTGCTTTGTATACTAACCCA